CTTTCCGAGCCCGGTGCAGTCTAGGCCTGTGAAGTTTTTTCTTACCACTGTAACTTTTGCTGTTTCTTTGCTAAAGTGCTCATGATGGATGGCCGGATCTTTGTAATATAACAATGAGTAAGGTCTTTTACCTGCTTTTTGTAAAGTGTCTCGAGATAACACTTGTTATGAGTTAACATTGATAAAAAATTGATTGATGGTTTATTTTGGTTAACACTTTAACACTTTGAGTCGACAAAGGGATCTTAAGGGCTTATGGGTCCTCTGCACCCTCAGCCTGGACTCTGTTACAGAATGACTTAAAGCTCAAGGAGCTGGAGTCCTTAAATGTTTTTAAATCTAAAATGAAAGACATGGAAGCAGATTCTACAGGATCTCGATGTTTTAGCTGTTTGAACGACTGATTCCCAGATATGACTCATAGATGGTTCTATTTTAATCCAAAATGTTGTGTTTTGTAAACTGTAATTTGTCTCTCTTTGTGTTTCCGTCTGTAACTTTGTGTTTTTGCTGCTGCCTGTCTCGCTCGGTCTCAGTGAAAAAGAGGTTTTTAATCTCAATGGGACCAACCTGGTTAAATAAAGGTTCAATAAAATATATAAATATATATATTTTCATTCAACTTCCTGTCAAACCCTGGTGAGAAATAGTGTAACTTGGCAACAAAGCTTCAAGTTTTCTAAAAGAACGTTCACTTCAAAATGACCAAATCAGAAACCTGAACGTCCAGTTATACATGAGATCATACCGTGATAACAATCCTTTGCTGTGAATGTCGCCGTCTCACTGCTCACAGGGTTGCTGACTGAACAGCTGTATTCTTCGTTATCTCGTTCGTCTCCAGAGGAATATTAAACTTGTGTCCCGGTTGTGATTTTCCCCGTGCTCTCCACTCAAACTTCATCATGGACTCAGGTGGGGTGGGTCTGCAGAGCACAGCAGCGTCGCCCGGACCTCAGAAACATCGGAGCCACCGTCTTTGTTTATCTCACAAGATATGGTCGGCATGGCAACCTTGTCTTGAAGAAACATGTAAAAAAATAAAGAAATAAATGAATACATACTGAAATCATTGTAGTATGTTACGTATGTATCGGATGCTGATATGATATGAGCTCATCACATCACTATTGGTATCGACTAATTTTATCTCTGATATGAGCCAATTTAACGAGGTTTATTTATGTTTTACATAGTTTTTAATAATAATTGTTCATTTCTAAGTATAAATTAGTGTTTAAAGGCTTTATATGTGATTTTTTGATCCAGCAGATGTCGCCCTTGAGCAAATTATTTCGATATGTCGGCCCCAAAAGTCCCATATGTGTCGGGTCCTGGTTTGTATACAAAGAAACATAAAATCTGTGCAAACAAGTGAATAATATGATAACATAATGTCGGGTATAAAGGGCATACACTGCTTATCAGAACGGGTTTGAGGTCAAACACACACACACACACACACACACACACACACACACACACGGTTCACTATGTTCTGTGACTTAAGAGAGTGAAAGTAACTTCTTCTTTGACACTGAATATAAACCGTCTTCAGATGCTTGAACAATTAGTTTTTTATCAAGGGCACACCTCTCGGCTGATACCAAAGCCATCGTAAAAAAGTAGATCCAGGACTATAAAACCCATTTGATAGCACACATATAAAAAAATAATATTTGATCTCCCCTCTACAGAGCCCTTCAGTTCCTTTTAGAGTCCTGTTACAGTTACTTGCCCACGGTAACTTAAAGTGAGAAAAGGATTGTTCTGACCGCCTGAAGTGTAGAATGTGATAGAATAATGAGATGAGATGAGATGAGATGAGATTCAACTTTATTGTCATACACATATACAAGTATAGAGTAACGAAATGAGGTTTGGCATCTCACCAGAAGTGCAAATAAGCAGAAAGTGCAAGAGTCTGTGCTATGTACAGTAATTGAGTGCAAGAGTCTGTGCTATGTACAGTAATTCTGTGTTATGTACAGTAATTGCAAAATTTACAGAAGTAGACAAAAAAAGTGAATTATTAGGTATATCTGGATGGCTGGATTAATGGATGCAATAAATATAAATAAATAATGCTACAAAATAAGTGTGTTTTTAGGATTATAATATACAGATTAAGGTGCAGTGAGCATGCTATACTAATAATATACAGATTAAGATGCAGTGAGCATGCTATACTAATAATATACAGGTTAAGATGCAGTGATCATGCTATACTAATAATATACAGATTAAGATGCAGTGAGCATGCTATACTAATAATATACAGGTTAAGATGCAGTGAGCATGCTATACTAATAATATACAGATTAAGATGCAGTGAGCATGCTATACTAATAATATACAGATTAAGGTGCAGTGAGCATGCTATACTAATAATATACAGATTAAGATGCAGTGAGCATGCTATACTAATAATATACAGATTAAGGTGCAGTGAGCATGCTATACTAATAATATACAGATTAAGATGCAGTGAGCATGCTATACTAATAATATACAGATTAAGGTGCAGTGAGCATGCTATACTAATAATATACAGATTAAGATGCAGTGATCATGCTATACTAATAATATACAGGTTAAGGTGCAGTGAGCATGCTATACTAATCATATACAGGTTAAGGTGCAGTGATCATGCTATACTAATAATATACAGGTTAAGGTGCAGTGATCATGCTATACTAATAATATACAGGTTAAGATGCAGTGAGCATGCTATACTAATAATATACAGGTTAAGGTGCAGTGAGCATGCTATACTAATAATATACAGATTAAGATGCAGTGAGCATGTTATACTAATATATACAGATTAAGATGCAGTGAGCATGCTATACTAATAATATACAGATTAAGATGCAGTGAGCATGCTATACTAATAATATACAGGTTAAGATGCAGTGAACATGCTATACTAATAATATACAGGTTAAGGTGCAGTGAGCATGCTATACTAATAATATACAGATTAAGATGCAGTGATCATGCTATACTAATAATATACAGGTTAAGGTGCAGTGAGCATGCTATACTAATAATATACAGATTAAGATGCAGTGAGCATGCTATACTAATAATATACAGATTAAGATGCAGTGATCATGCTATACTAATAATATACAGGTTAAGGTGCAGTGAGCATGCTATACTAATAATATACAGATTAAGATGCAGTGAGCATGCTATACTAATAATATACAGATTAAGATGCAGTGAGCATGCTATACTAATAATATACAGATTAAGATGCAGTGAGCATGCTATACTAATAATATACAGATTAAGATGCAGTGAGCATGCTATAATAATAATATACAGATTAAGATGCAGTGATCATGCTATACTAGTTTACAGATAATATAAAGAATATGGACATAATATGAACATACTATAATACAATAATACAGATGGATGAGAGATGTGTGTGTGTGACCAGGAGGAGTGGTGGGGGGATGATGGGTGTGAGGTGATATGCAGGCAAACTGGAAATGAGCGACTTGAATGAGCGACTTGAAATATGAACGTTGCCAAAAGTACAAAGTCTATAAAGATGTCCCCACAACAGCCATAAAACCTGTGGTGAAAGGTTTTATAACAGGTCTGAAGTTGATCATTGGTAATATTCTACATAAAGCAGATTTTACAGCCCAACAGTGTGACTCACTGAATCTGTATCAGCCTTGCACATCCATTCAGTTCAGCTTCTGAGGCTTAAAGCCACAAAGTTTAAAACTGATTTCTGGAAAAATAACTCATCTTCTGATGTTTCAGCTTTTCTTCACAGCTTCAGCAGTTTCTTTAGATTTCTCTGTTGTGTGCCTGATTCTACAGTTCATTCACAAGATGCTTCTGTCCAAAGCGACGTACATTAAGGAGTTTTTTTCCAGCTAGCTAGAACTCTGTTTCTGAGCCAATGCCGTGTCCACTACAGAATCTGTTTTTAAAGCAGGGCTGTCTCAGGGACACACAGTTTGTTTTGTTGGCCTTGTCCTCCACTTACAGATATTTCTTTAGATTCTCTGAATCTTTTTATATGATGTAAAGTTTGCAGACAATGAACGCCCCACATTCATTTCAATTGTAAGTAAAAAAACAACAACAAGATTCTAATTGTTTCACCTCAGCACAGACTTTCACAGACGCCCTTCACATCTTTTTTTTAAACCATCATGTTACTAACCTGTAGCCAGTTCACCTTCTAAACTTTGACATGTTCCATCAGCTTCTGTGCTACTGCACCAACTTTCACCAACCTACATTTTGGAATTAAATTTAATTCAAAATCAAAAAAAGTTGAACATTTTTGTGAAAAATTTCGGCTCAAAAAATGTTGAAAATGTTCATGAAAAAAACTTTGGTTTCCAAAAAGTTGGACATTTTGGTGAAAATTAAACAATGTCATTTCACAGTTTCAACATTTAGCAGGTTGTCTTTGTGCTATTTTCAATTCCATACGGGGTTTCAATGTTTCAAATCATCCCTTTCTGTTTCTATTCACATTTTACTCTGAGGTTTTACTTTTAACCCTCTTCCAGCTGTAGGATGGATTGATTATAATCTGTGTGTTCAATGTTAAACTTACCTATGACCTCCAGTTTGAATTCTGACAGATGTAACATGTTGTTGATGTCGACTTCCACTTCATAGAGTCCTCTGTCTTCAAACTTGAGGCCGGTGATTTCGAGCTCTGCCGAGACCCAGTCGAGAGTGATCCTGTTTTTGTACGCTCCGTACACCTGTTCCTCTCTGCTGTCAAACTCCACCACTTTGTTTCCGTTATGTTTCCACAGAATTGAATTTGGTTGTCCAGAAAAGGTCGGCTTCAAGCTCTCCCCCGTCCCCTTGAGGACATATTTTGTAGGCGGTTCAGCACCTAGAACTGATCATAGAGAGGTATGAGAATATGAAGCATGTGTCTTTGTAAGGGTTCTGCATATTTAAAACAACTCTAATGAAACGTGTTTATAGAATTTAGAGACCGTTAATCCTGTTTAGTACTCGAGCATTATTATCTGTTATTAATATATTGTACTCATAATAAATGTGGATGGAGAAAAAACAGCAAGTTACTAAAAACACTTTTGTACGACGGAGGATTACGGCCATGTTACATTTTTTTATTTTTTTATTTCAAGATTAAAGTCGTAAATTTACGACTTTATTCTTGTAAATTTATGAGTTTAATCTCAAAATTAAAAAATAATAATATTTTTTTAACATGGCCTAAATCCTCCGTCGTACTTTTGGATATGAGGTTAGAACTTTCTTTTTTTAATCCAAATAAAAAAAATGGAGAAAAGGACTTTAAGGTAAGATGCTCATGCGGTCTGGAATCTCCTGCAGGATGATCTGTGTCTGTCTCTTTAAATCTTTTTTAAAGTAGTCTGAAGGTGTTGGAGGCAGTAGCTCAGTCTGTAGGGACTTGGGTTGGGAATCAGAGGGTCGCTGGTTCAAGTGCTTCGCTGGTTCAGTGTGCACAAACACTGTTTGTACATGTGTGTGTATTTCAGCCTGCATGTTAACTAGACAGAGTGTAAAAACAAATTTCCCCTCGCGGGATCAATAAAGTATACATTATTATTTATTATAAGATGCTTCAGGTTGTAGATGCTTTGAATAATTAACTTTTCTTCTCTGTGACTCAGGATGTTGATCTGTGTTTGTGATTACTCTGTGTGTTTATCTCTGTAATGTGTTTATTGTACTGCTTTACTCTTGTAAATAAGATTTTTAATCTCAATGCAGGACTAAGTCACTTTTAGTCTAGGTCATTTAAACAACTTTCTATGGCGACACAGCAGCATTTGACAGAATTCATCAGTTATTGGATCACCATGGAGACAGATCAGCTGTTTAACATTTTATTCACTTAAAACACAAGCAGTTGTACCTGAACACCTCCCTGACTAACAACAAATTCTCCTTCAACTTATGTTTCCAGAATCCTTGTTCCAGTGTCTTAATTGTGAGATAGTCCGGCTTTTATTTGTGTTACATGAATTGAATATTTTCTAAGTCGGAGAACAAAACCATGCATCAAGATCTATCTGTCAAAACTTTCAGTATGATTCCAATCAGTAAAAATATGTCAAACTTCTGCCTGAACAATGACCAGAGAACACGTCTCTGCCATTGTCCCAGGATTAACACTTCATGATGATACATGCTGAGTAAAGAGTGGTGAAGATGTGTGTTTAGTTTGTTCATGTGTAACAAGTGTAAAGTCGATGTTAAACATTTGAATACAAAGTTAAAACAAATAAAAGTAAACATGAAATAGACTAATATCATCAGGTGTATTTCTTAGTCTGTTATTAACAAACGTATCAAAGTAATGCTGTGTTTCTATAAAGTCTATTACTTCATAATAAACATGTGAATTATGCATTTTTAAAAGCAAAAATACTGCACAGGTCAAAACTTATGTACATGTCTGATAAGGAAACAGTTTTTAGCTGCAGTGAACTATTGAACCCTCTTTGTATTAATGATTACTGAACATGTCTGGTCCTGCTCGTGGTGAGGTCTGCAGCTCTGTAGGTTCATTAAGTCTCAAGATAAAAACAGCAGAATGTTAAAGAAGAAAAACTCACCGAGGCAGGAGGTAAATAAGAACGAGGCCAGGAAATAAAAGCAACCCATTGCAGAGCAGCAGAATAATCACAGGTATGCTCCGCAGCCGCCGTCGTACCTTCAGTGTACCTGTACTTTCACTTTGTCGTCTCGGGTGCAGGAACAGAAAAAACACTTTTACTCTCTGATTTAACTCCAACAACTCGTGGGTTGTTATTTCTCCTTCCAACAAGTCAGAACAGGATCAAGTCAACACTTCTTGGAGCAGTCGGGCTCAGGTAACACAAAGGGGCGCGGCTGTAGGACGCAGACAAACAGGCAAGGTTCTAAACGAAAGTATCTCGTCCAGGTGTTAACACCTGAGCTTCCGGTCTCCGACCTTCACAATAAGGTAGAAGCTCGACTATTGTGTAGTCACGACGCCTACATGCGAGGCTACACGGCTTAAGTTAGGCTACTTTTTCAAACTTCAAATATCTCTTAATATGTGGACGGAACAATGTTAACTATTGGTTTTATATGCAGACACACTGTTTGTTCATCTGCTCTCAGGTGCCCACCTGAAAAGGTGTGTTTCCCAGCTTCGGTGTACAGATGTTATCAATAGAAGACAGTCCGTTTTAACTAAAAACAAAAATTAAATAGGTTTTGTCTTATTTATTTATTTATTTATTTCACTCACTCACCTGCTCTTTGTATTTAGCCTCTGTGCTTTTAGTTTGAAATCAAACAGGAAACTGGGCTTTGACAGTTTTGTCACGATGCCAAATCTTTTTTTGAAGGTTGTACGGGCTGTTAAAGAAACAGGAGCAGTATGCTTTCGTTGTGTCTCTCATTTACAAACAATTTATATTTGAATGTATTTTTAATTTCTTTAGGTTTGTAAGGTTTGTGTCTTAAACATGTTTACAGAATGTAGATAGTATTGTATGGAAGCGATTAGTGATCAGAATTCAAATGATAAAGCTAATTTGAAAATTAAAATCCATCAACAGAAATGTTTTTTTAATTTTCAGAATATGGGAGTATTATTTGACTCAAAAATAAATTATGACTAATTTATCTGAATAGAATTTTAGTTTTCAACTTCAAAATGCACATTTTTTAAACTGAAAAGCAAATGTAATTTTCTTTTTCATTTTAATTTAGTCAAAGAATGTGCATTTTTATTTAAATAAAAAACAGAGTTCTAATCACTTCCATAGTATTCATCTTATGATCGTCTCACTTTATGTCTTTATCACCACTTGATGGCAGTGTTGATAAAAAAAAGGCCTACAGAGTGATTTATACTACACACAGTCTATATTCATTTCATGAGTATTGCTTCATTCTGTTTTTGCATTTGCATTTGTGAAATCAACAATGTATTTATGTTGTATATTTTTGTACATTTTAGGTATATTTACATGTATTATGTCTGTATTTTTTAAGGTTAAGAAATCTTGTGATTGTTTCTGATTAATATTTGATTTATTCATTCATTCAACTTTTATTTAATCTTGAGGAATCATTGAGGGCATGCACTGCTTTGCAATGATGTTGATTTAAAATTCCAATTCATACAATTTAAGTTATATATCACTTAACAAAGTCAGTATAGGAGCCTATTCACACATAGTTTGAATTGCCAACATTAAGATTGATATGTACTAAGTATACACTGTAAAACATCACAGCCCAATTTAGTTATCTCCACGAACTTATTTTCTTTAACTCACATAACGACTCAAGTTTTAGATTTTTAACTTACATTTATGAGTTTTCAAAAGTGAAACTTGCAGAAATTAATTGTGTTGACTATTTCACACTTTTGTGAGATTAGATCATGTTCATTGAATTTATGAATTTCATTTTGTAAATCCTAAGTAAAAAAAAAAAAAGAAAAAAAAAAGTGACGCGCAGGCCGTTCTAACGGTTCTAACTCCTCAGACCAATTGTTGCCAGGACTTTGAATTTGACAGAATCACTGTTCTTTAAACCATGGTAAGACATTTCTAAAGTACACATTATATAGTGTATATCTGCTCTTCATTCGAATTTCAACCTAAATTGGACAACAATAGAGGACTGCTCTGCTCTACTATTAGAGCAGAGCAGCGAGCAGCACCGAGCAGAGCAGCGAGCAGCACGGTTCCCCACCAACTGACTTCACGTATCAAACTTAATTTTCCCCACTCAGCGACACACAGAGAATAAAACTCTGATTATTGGAGACTCCATCGTCCGAAACGTGAAGCTAGTGAAGTCAGCGGGCATAGTTAGGTGTATACCCGGGCCAGAGCGGGCGACATCGCATTCATTTAAAGTTGCTGACAAAGACTAAAGGTAGATTTGATACAATCGTAATTCATGTCGGCACTAATGACTCCCGACTACGCCAGTCGGAAGTCACTAAGGTTAATGTGGAGTCGGTGTGTACTTTTGTTAAGACGATGTCGGACTCCGTAGTGTTCTCTGGCCCCAAATCAGACCAGTGATGAACCTGTATAGCCGCATGTCATCACTCAACCGCTGGCTGTTGAGGTGGTGTCCAGCACACGATGTGGGCTTCATAGATAACTGGCAGTCTTTTTGGGGAAAACCTGGTCTGCTAGCTAGAGACGGCATCCATCCCATTTGGACGGTGCAGCTCTATTATCTAGAAACATAGCAGAGGTTATTAATCCAAAACCTTGACAACAACAGAGTTCAGACCAGGAGGCAGAGCTGCAGTCTTACACTTAGATCTGTCTCCAGTCCTATAGCTGTAATTCTGAATCTAACTGTAGTCATACTATAGGTACTGTGTCTGTCCCCGGCCCAGACCCGTCTTGTAAGTCATTCCAAACGAAGAGAAAAGGCGTAAATCATCAAAATCTCATTACAATCAAAACTACGAATACGATTTTGCTAAAAAAATCAGAAGATTCACTGCAGACTTTTGAACATTAGGTCTTAGCATCCAAATCTCTTTTAGTGAATGATCTGATATCAGATCAGCATATTGATTTACCTTTTTTGACTGAAACCTGGCTGTGTCAAGATGAATATGTTGGGCCACGCAGGCTTAGGACAGTCAAACAATGGACTTGGGCCTGTACCTTTGTAAAAGCCTCATTTGAGTTATTCACTGAGATCACAAAGAGGCCTAAAAGGACTCTTAATCCAGAATCCCCTGCGGTACTTCACACCTACGCGTGAAGTAAAGGGGGACCGGAACCTCTCTCTCCTCATTGGAGGGGACCTGAGGTAGACCCCATGGAGCAGGCCAGGCTACAAAGCTCCAAGACTTCCGTTGCTCGCCCTTTCACGCGCTGACCTTTGGTGCTCGGAGACCCAAGAAGATCTCCTGTTCCTGCAACAATCTTCCTTTGTTTTAAGTTTTTGGCGCGCAGGTAATCCGGCGCGGCAGTGTTCTAAATTCTGAGCTCGGATTGTCCAGTGAACGCATCTCAGTTTCTCAGAGAGCATCAGACTATAACAGATTATCAGAAAGATAACGGTCTTATTCCGTCCTGCAACGAAAGGACATCAACGACATCTTTCCACTCGACGGAGAACCAACGAAGCCGCTCTCGCCGTAAGGGACCCTCGCCGCCATCAGACGCCTCTGCACCAGGACGGACAGAAGATCTGCTCCATCGCCGGACTCTTTTCCTTTCACCAATGGCGGACAAAGCGATTCACAAGTGAGGCTTAATTAGGTCTGGGCAGAATTAGCTTTAGAGAGTGTTTTTAACAATTGTTGATCTAAGCAGAAACTGTAATTTTTATCTTTGTTGGACCTGCGTCCTGAGTTTTACCTGTTTAAAACTCTTGTTGTTTCGGACCGCTGCGTCCTATATGTGTTTAGCGTAACAGCGTTATAACCGGGTATTACTCTTCTGATCAGAAAGGCCAGTGTAAGCCGTATTAACCTGAATTCGGCTATTGGTTTGTTTCTGTGAATGAAGGGAATTACTCCGAGTTGTGGCGCGGGAGTCGGACTGTGATCCGGCCTCTTCAGGCACGCATTTCTCTTTTATTCTCTTTTATTTCCCCTTCTACGAACATACACATACACACATATTCCCGTGTAAACGTACATCTGGAGACCAACTCCACCACCGCGTCATTACGCACAGAGATCTATACACTCGCAGCTATCCAGACGCCTCAGAGACACAGATCGTGTAGGGCCGAACTCAGTCTCTTTTAGAGCTTAAGGCCACATTTAGGCCTTTGTTAGGTGTGCGCCATCGGAAGGGCGACCACGTGGGACGAAGTAATCTTCCCCCCCCCCTTCTCTCTCCCTTTCATCCACACGCGCACACACCCAGGTCTTTGTTAGGTTTGCACCATCGTGAACGACCACGAGGGTACGAAGCCATCTCCCCCCCCTTTCTTCTTCCTCCTCTCTCTCTCTCTCTCTCTCTCTCTCTCTCTCTCTCTCTCTCACACACACACATACACACACACACACACACACACACACACCTACATTCACACCCCTTCCACAAGCCTTTGCTTGATAATGTTTGTTGCTTAGATTAGTTTATAATAGTTATTTGTTTAATTAAGTTCATTGATTTTGTATTGATGTTGCTTTGTTTAAATAAATTCTGTTATAATTTAAGAGAGCAGTTGTTTGTGGTTACTGGTGTATTTACATTGTGATATAAGCTGGGTGCGAAGGCTTTGTGTACGGATTTCACGCCTTCAATTTATTAAATATAGTTATTCATTATTAATAATATTAGTAATTAAATAACTAATTTGAGACTGATTTGAGTCAGGTTGGTGCCCCAAAACGAGATTAAACATAGTTTAATGATATTTTATTTATATTATTAATAATTAAGTATAATTATTAAAGAATATAACCAAAGTTGACTTGATACAACCCCAACAAATATGTTAGTTTAAATGAATCCACTCCTCCCCAGTCATTTTAATACTCATATACCTCGAGACACCGTACGAGGTGGTGGAGTAGCAGCTATTTTTATTTCTGGACTTCCTTGTTCTTAGTCTTTCACATCCAGTCTCAAGAACCTTTCAGCCAGTTCTAGTTGTTGTAGTTTACCGCCCTCCTGGCCCATATTCTGAGTTTCTATCTGAATTTGCAGAATTTTTATCAGATTCAGTCCTGAGCAGTGACAGAATAATTGTTGTTGGTGACTTCATTATCCATGTGGATGTTGATAATGATAGCCTTAGCACAGCTTTCATGTCACTATTAGACTCTTAGACTCTAGACTTTTAGCTTATGGAATTGAAATCCAAAACCTTACAGTTTTCCTAGAAAATCCTCTTCTATCAGACATTATCTTATTACATTCGATTTTGTCCTACCAGAATTACCTCTGCCTGGAAGAGGTGTGA